TCTCTCTCTCTCTCTCTCTCTCCCTCTCTCTCTGTCTCTCTCTCAAAAATGAATAAACAATAAAAAAAATTTAGAGGGGTTCCTGGGTGGCTCGGTCGGTTAAGCATCTGACTTTTGCTCAGGTCATGATCTCATGGTCTGTGAGTTAGAGCCCCACGTCAGGCTCTGTGCTGACAGCTCAGAGCCTGAAGCCTGCTTCAGATTCTGTGTCTCCCTCTCTCTCTCTGCCCCTCCCCCTCTCATGCTCGCTCACGCGTATGCATGCTCTCTAAAAAATAATCATTAAAAAATTTTTTTGAATGGGGCGCCTGGGTGGCTCAGTCCATTCAGCATGGACTCTGGATTTCGGCTCAGGTCATGATCTCACAGTTTGTGGGTTCAAGCCCTGCGTCTGGCTCTGTATGGACAGCACAGAGACTGCTTGGGATTCTCTCTCTCCCTCTCTCTCTGCCCCTCCCTGACTCATGCTCTGTCTCTCTAAATAAATAAACATTTTTAAAAAAATTTTTAAAGAAATTTAGAAAATGTAAAAAGGAATGTAATCATTATACACAATATGTATATACACATGTATATGTGTGTGTATGAGATATACATGCAATAAACACTACGTAGCCCTGCTGTGAATATTTACCATTATAGTCATGCAAACACTGACTAACGATTTCATCAGAACTGTGGCATAACCATACTGAGGGAATGGGAGGAGGGAATTCTGTGTTTGGCAGGCAGTAGATGAAAACTAAATCTGCGGTTATCATATAATAATGGTAATGTCTAAAACTGAGAAATAAAGAAAAAAGCATTATAAGCATATTAAACAATCATATAGGTTAAGAGCAAAGAACGTCTAGAAGAACTGAGTCGTTACCTTTGAGTAGAGTCTGAGTAGAAGACTTTTTTTTTTCAATGTAGCCTTATGATAATATTTGATTTTTAAAAAGCACATTTATTGAATTTAATAAAACGTTAATTAGAAAAGAAACATTATAAACCAATTAAAAGTACATGGAACATGTTTATATACATTTAAATTATATGAAATAAACAGGAGAGGAAAATACAGCATATACCGCATATAGTGACTGCAGTTATGTGAAACACCTGTATATATACTGATAGGGATCAGAAGAAAATAATAATATAGAATATTAATGTCCATTTACCTAATGATTATTGTTTAAATTTTTAAAATACAATTTAAGTAACATCACAAAAAGAGATAACACTTAGAAGTACCGAAAAGTGAGATGCAAGAAGAGGTGTATATTACCATCCATGAGTATTTTTGCCAAAAAAATAACTGAATCTAAAACTGATCAGACCTCTACATCCAACAGTTTATAGAGCATACGGGAGCCAGTGAAAATACACCACAGAAATGCAACAAGAAAAGCTCAGAATATAGGAAATTCTACATGAATAATCTAGCTTTTTCAACAAATGTACTCCAAGAAAGAAAAAAAAATGGAAAGAGAAAAAGGAAAATTTTCAGATTTAAAATAGACTTACAAGGTATAACATTTAAATGCAACATAACATGTAGTAAGGCATTCTTAAGATCCTGATACATACCAACAATTTTTAAAAAACACTAATATGTTTGTGAGGGAAATGAAGAAATGTGGAATGTTAACTAGGTATTTGATGATACTATGGAAAGTCAAATTTTAAGCACAAAAAGGGTACCATAATAATGTCTAAACAGTACTTATCTTTTGACAATATACTCTGATATATATATAGACAGAATGATATGATTTCTGAGACGTCTCCAAAATAATATGAAGATAAGAGAATAGATGAAACAAGACTGGCCATGTGTTGTAACTCCTGAAGTTGGTAACTGTTTTTGGTACATGAAGATTTATAATACTATTCCCTTTGCCTGTATATCTGCTTGAAAACTTATAATCAAAAAAAGTTTATTTAAAAATTTAAAATACTTTATGAATTTGAGCAATAATCTTTAAACATTTTTCTACTTCATATAAAACACAATCACTTTGGTGATCATTCAAGAATTTCAAATCTTTCCATGTACCTAATTATATTAATATGGCCTAATGAAGATCTTAATTTGCATAAAATACTAATAGGGAAAAGCAACCATAACTAAAAATCTGTAGTGATTACAACATTATGTTCTTAAAATACAGAGACATATATGTATATATATACATACATGAAAAAATACTGAGATATATATGTATATATATACATACATGAGTCATATTTTTTGAAATCATAAATAAAAACTGGTTTACCTCTCTCAATTTTTCTCGTTCACGTTCCCTCTCAGCAATACGTTTTCGCCTCTCTTCCTCTTCCTTAAGAGCATTTTGTGTTTCAGTTCTTAGCTTATCATCTTTAAGAATCTTTCGAATTTTCTTTCTGCCTTTTCCAGGAGACTTGGAATCATCATTTTCATCTTCTTCTTCTTCCTCTTCCTCTTCCTCTTCATCTTTATCTTCTTCAGAATTACTCTATGGAATTTAAACGATGAGAGATAAATACCACAAAATTGTCTAATTTATCCATTTCACATTCCAATAATTAATTTAACAAGAAAAAGTAAAACAAAACATACTGAAGAGCTTTAAAATTATACTTTGCAAAAAGGAAGAGCATTAATTGAAAACAACCCAGAAAAGGAGGTAAAGGACTGGAACAGATATTTCTCCAAAGATACAGAAATATCCAATAATCCTGTGAAAAGATGTTCAATATTACTTGTAATTAGGGAAATTTAAATCAAAACCACAGGGGTGTCTGGGTGGCTCAGTTTGTTAAGCGTTAGACTTCATCTCAGGTCTGGATCTCACAGCTTGTGAGTTTGAGCCCCGTGTTGGGCTCTGTGCTGACATGACAGCTCAGAGCCTGGAGTCTGCTTCAGATTCTGTCTGCATCTCTCTATGCCCCTCCCCTGCTCGCTCTCTCTCTTTCCCTCTCAAAATAAACATTAAAACATTTTTTAATAAATAAATAAATCAAAACCACAAATAAGATACTATCTTGCACCCATTAGGATGACTATTTTTAAAATAAAAAATAAGAAGTGTTGGTGAAGATGTAGAAAAATTGGAAGCCTAGTACACTGGGTAAACAGTGTGATGGTGCCTCAAAAAGTTAAATATAGAATTACCACATGACCCAGCAATTCCATACCTCAGATTATAACCAAAATTAAAAGCAGGTACTCAAATATTTCTATGCCCACATTTATGACATTACTCAAAATACCCAAAGATGGAAACAACCCAAATGTTCATCAACAAATGAATGGATAAACAAAACGTGATATATACATAAAGAGAATATTATTTAGCCTTAAAAAGAAAGGAAATTCTGATACATGCTACAACACGGACGTGCCTTGAAAACATTGTCAGTGAAATAAGCCAGACACAAAAAGACAAATATTGTATGATTTCACTTATATGAAGTATATAAAATGGACAAATTCACAAACACAGAAACTGGAAGAAGTTACCAGAGGCTAATTACAGAGTTATCAGTTGTGAATGTAATTAAGACCACTGAAATGTACACTTAGAAATGGTTAAAAGTTTCATTTAAAAAGAAATGAGGGGTGCCTGGGAGGCGCAGTCGGTTAAGCGTCCGACTTCAGC